ATGGGGAGAGGTGAAATGAGAATTTGATTCTTAACCACATAGGTGAGTAAGTGCCTTTATATTAATAATTTGGCTTGTTGCTCTTTGGGCCTTTCTTGATAGATAGGATTCTTAAAATCTTCTTAGGTATGATTTGTTGATCTAGAATTGATGTAGCTATTTTTGTCTTAAAGATTTCTTATTTCATTTAAAATTTCAATAAATATCTTTATCCTCTTTGGCTTTCTAATGGAGGTTTTGCTATAATTGATTAATTAACATAATGTGTGGTATTTATTAGTTCGTCTATGACATTAATTTAAAGATAATTCTTAGATAGAACTAAACACTATGACACAACAATGGGCCAATCTTCTTAAATGATCTTTTCAATTGTCAAGATCTATATTCTTAGAGATTATATAAGAGTTGAGATTCCCATTTTTTTTATTTTATTATATCATGTAAAAAATCTAATAATAATGGATTTAAGTGAGATTAAATAAGAACACTTGTATGATTTGTTCTGTTGAAATCTTTTTGTATGAGTTGTCCAAAATATTTATATCATGGATGCAATTTTTATTTACCTATAAAAAAATATAAGTTGGTTGATTTTTCTATCAATTGTCTCTATTTTCTTTGTCTTATATCCACCCATGTCTTATGAATAACTAAAGATAATTTTTTATAAAAAAATTATGAGTAAGTTACTTAATTTATATTTGACTAATGGTGATAACCATTAATTTCTTAATCAAATCATAAAAATAAAGGATTCCGTTTGAAATTCCTTTCCCACCACACTTTTGCTCACAGTCCTTCAATAAATATGTTAATTTATCATGCGTTAAATTAATTTTAAATAATATTTTGTAATTTAATAATTAAATATATTGATTTATAGCAAAAATTTTTATAAATCAAACAATAACATAAATTTGTAATTGTAAAATACTCAAAAAAAAAACTATTATCACAACACTTTACAATAACACTAAGCACAAAAGAAACTCATTTAAGAAGCTAAATTAATTCTTCTTCTCTCTATGTATAAATCGAATCAATACTAAGGGTTTATGAATGATAAAATAAAAATATAATAGGAAATTTAAGCAAAAGTATTCTTCAAGGAGCACCACAAACATTTTGAAAAACTGTTCGAGGATCAATTTTGACATTAGCCTCTCTATTATATATGTATCTTCCTTTTCCAATCTCCCACTTGCAACAACAAATTCTAAAGTTAAAATAAATGACTTTAACTTTTGTAACTGATTTTTTTTTTTTTATTATCATATGATTTATAACTTTTGTTAAATTGTGTTTTTTCTAGCCTTTAGAATATCAAAATAATTATACTAATGTACAACTATATTTTTTTAAATAACTTTTTTTAAAGACAGACTACACTTAAATATATTAATTCGGGTAATAAGTATTTTTACCTGTATA